GAGTCGGGGTCGACTCCACAGGGAGTTATAAGGGGTGTTAGGTGCATATACTTAAAGAAAGCAAATGGATTAACTAAATTTTCACTTCCACAAAAAAATTTTGATTTATATTTCTACTATTACTCTAACAATTGTGAGCTAAGGAAAATAATCTAGAAATTAACGATTGTTTTTGGTGTTTTTCCAAATAGTTTAAAAGCCTAGGGATGCGACCATAACCTAGGTGTTCACCTAATGGGATAAAGACGTTAATACTTATTTTGTTGATTGGGGTGTATTATAGCTCTCAACTCTACATTACCCACCCAATACCTCTCGTTCAAAGAGTAATTTTGCCCAATTTGGCATTCTCAAAGCCAAATGGGTATCAAACAAAGTAGTTGATATGAGCTCAAATCGAGTTCTTACTATCTCTGGTATGAACCCTTTAATTAGGCTAATCAAACTCCCAATCAGCCCAATTTTTTGTTAGCCAAGTTATTCTAGACTAGGTTACTCTTTCTCAAGTAGAGACTAAGTCAAAAAGGCATGAATCAATATTTGCAACCATTAATTCTAAAATTGAATCATGAACTAAGATAAATAATCAACACCCAATCATAAACAAGCATTAAATTAAATACCCATAAGCTTTACACACTCGGGTTGGCTCACAACCCTAGTAAGAATCTAGCCACTTATAATGGGAATTGAAAAAAATAAAAAAGAAAAGCTAATTAAACTCATAATTAAAGATTAAAATTATAAAATATAATATTTAAACACTAAAATAATCAAAAACTTCCTAAAATGGCAAACGGTAACGGCTACAGCAGCTCAAACTTCAAAACTTGACCTAAAATTGTGAAACTCGTCTAGTCATAATGACCCAAAATTCGCTCACAAAAATTCCCCTATGGAGGTTCTGCGTCCGCACAATTCCATATAGGGTCCGTAGATTTCTTCAATTGGTAGGAGATGGGACTCTACAACGGCACATTTCTGGATGTCAGCTGTGAAATATCTTCTGCAGCCGAACAATTTTTGTGTTGTCTGCACTTCAGCAAGGCGTCAGGACTTGGTCTTTTTGTACACTCTCTGAACTTTGAATTTGTTAGTGAAAGCCATGTTCTGCAGCTGCACAATTCATGTGCGGTCCGTAGATCTGCCAAAGTTCTGTTGGGTGCTTTTACTTGGTTTGCGGTCGCAGGTGGAGTTCTACGGTCCGCACTTTCTTCTGCGGACGACACTTCTTTGCTTTTGTGCCCTTTATTGCCTTGTGATTCAGAAAGCTCGTTTTGGAGTTTCATTATGGGAGACCAAACTTCCAATATTCTTGCAATTTAAGCAATTTTATTAGTTTCGGGAACATAAATCAATACGTTCGAACTAAAACAAAAGCAAAAAGGTGCTAATAAGTTGGCAAAATCCCCACTTATTAGAATCAAAGTTTGGATGACCTATTGCTTTGATTTTCATGGTGAATTTCCCTTCATGATGAATTCTTAATTCGACAAACCCTATTTTTTTTATTTTCTATTGCAAATTGAGAAATTTAATGGAGTTTTGAATAGAATTGAGCATTTTTCCATCGAGATTCCTAATTTCTAGTAGAGTTCATTATCAATTTGTTATTGTTGGTGATTTTCGGGTGCTGGAGATTCTACCAGATTTGATAGTTCAGTGCACTAGTTCTCTTTTGTTTAGATGTTTTCTCTCCATTACTCGTAAGATTATGTCAATTGCTTATAGTGTCAGTATATCTTCTGTGTTGTCATTGCGGGTGTGTGTTTGGTGTGTATCTGGTGTTTCTTGGTAGAAATACTTTACACAATGGGATCTGATGTTGAGCCTGGCGATGCCTCTAGTACTGGTACTAAATTAGAAGAATTACCCCCCTTCTCTCTCTATTTCTCATCCTTTTTATCTAAGTCCTTCTAACAACCCAAGCGTAGTACTTGTGGCTATGCAATTCAACGGAACTTACTTTGAGCCTGGAGGAGAGGAATTATCATAGCTTTGTCCGCTAAAAAAATAGGTTTTATTAATGGAACTTATACCTAGCCTTCTCTTGATTCCCCTTTATACGAACATTCAGAATAGTGTAATAACATAGTTATAAGCTGGATCCTTAATTCTCTTGATCCCGATATGTCCTAAAGTGTTATATACTCTAAAACTGCTAATGGTATATGGGATAAGTTGAACTAGCGATATGGTCAATCTGATGGGGTTCGAAGTATAGGGTCTAGAAAGATTTGAGTTTTGTATCTCAAGGATCATCTGATGTGGCTAGGTATTTCAACAAAGTGAAGAGACTTTGAGAACAAATAGAGTCTCTTAGTTTTGATTCTTATTGTTTTTATTAGTGCAGTTGTGAGGGTATGCATAAGATGATAAAAAATGAACAAAATCAGAAGTTTATGCATTTCTAATAGGACTAAATGAGGGTTTTAACAATGCTAGGGGAAATATATATACTCATGATGGAACCTCTTCTTGAAGTCAATAAAGCTTATTCTCCGGTTATGCAAGACCAGAAACAAAGAGGTATCCAAAATGTCCCTCATTTTCAGCCAGATACCAACTTCTCTGTGGGTTCCTCTCAAAGTCAAAGTCAAAATCCCATATCACATCCAACTAACTTGTATGATCAAAAGTACAACTTCAACAACCATAGATGAGTTTCTGATCCTAAAAGACAATTCTGCAACTATTGTAAGACAAATGTTATAAATTGAGTGGTTTCCCACAGAATTTCAACTTTTGATCTAGTAATAAAAATAGAAGGGTCATAGTAAATGTTTATGCAAATGTGCAGCCATCCGCAGAAGCTAAAACTGAGTGTTCTCATGACTTCTCTACTCCATGTCAAGCCACTTCTGCCACCACAACCCATGAGCAGTACAAGTAGCTGATGAGTCTACTTCAGAATGTACAAGTTGTATAACATAACCAATCTCAGTACATTCCTACTACTGCTAATTTTTGAGGTATATTTGCATGCCCCTGCCTTAAAAGCATATTTTCATGCTCTTGTCTTAAAAATTATGCTAATTGTTCTTGTCTTAGTTCTGTTTTGACTCCTGATTCTTAGATTTTTGACTCTGGGGTAGCAGATCATACGACTTTTAACAAGTATTTATTCAAAACCATCACAACCTTATCTACTCCTTATCTTGTTACCCTACCAAATAGTTATAAAGTTAAAGTAACATGTATTGGTTTATTGAGCTTAATTCATTCATTACTTTTTCCACAGTACTTTTTGTCTCTACTTTTAAATATAACCTTATTTTGTACAGAAATTACTCCTTGATCCTTCCTTACTCCTTTTTTCACAGTTTTCCTGTCATTTATAGGGCCCTTCTATGAAGAGTCCATTGGAGCTTGGTAGAGAGGTAGATGGGCTGTATCTACTCAATTCCAGCTCCTACAAGACTACAGATACATCTTTAGTTCCTAGAATTTTTTTATCTAGTCTTGTTTCTGTAAATACAGTGAGTGTGAATAAGTCTCATAGTTTGTCGCGCAACAGGTTGGAATATCTTCCTTTTAATTAGTAAGTTGCAGAATATTACCTCTGTTACTCTTCCTTCTTGTACTAGATAACCTTTCTTGTGTGGAGTATGTCCACTTTCTAGATAACAGAGGCTTCCCTTTTCTTCTAGTGAATGTCATTCTACACACTTGTTTGATCTAGTACATGTTGACACGTGGGGCCATGTCATACTGCAACTTCTAGTAATTGCAAATATTTCCTAACTCTAGTGGATGATTGCAGTAGATATACTTGGACACATCTTTTGAGTCACAAAGAAAATGCCTTTTCTGTTCTTAAATCTTTTCTGTCCATGGTAAATACACAATTTAATGTGGAAGTTAAATGTATTAGATCCGGTAATGCCTTAGAACTTGGTTATAGTATTGAAGCCACTCAATTTTTTCAATCCAAAAGAATCTTACTCTAAACTTTCTGCCATTATACCCCTCAACAAAATGGAATTGTAGAAAAGAAACATAAACACTTGCTGGAAATAGCAATAGCTTTGCTTTTTCAGTCCAAACTTCCAACTAACTTCTTGGGTGATTGTATACTCACAACAACTTACTTGATTAATAGATTTCCAGCTCTTCAGTCCAGTAAGACACCTTATGAAGTCTTACATGGTGTTAAACCTTCCTATGTTCATTTGAAAAGTTTCGAATGTTTATGTTATGTTACAGTCCCTAAACCCTTGAGGAATAAATTTTCTCCTAGATCTACTTCATATATTTTCCTTGGATATCTACCTGGTAAAAAGGCATACAAGCTGATGCAACTTTCAATAACAAGATATTGGTTTCTAGAGATGTGATATTTCATGAAAATATCTTTCCTTATTCTTTAGATTCTTCTCCTACTTATACTCTTTTTCTCGATTCAATTGGTATAGTTGATTCCAGTTGTATTCCTGAACCATGCCACAATACACTGATTACCCAATCTCCTTCTCACCCTCCCAAAATACCTTCCACTGATCCTACTTCCATAGATACTTTTGACTCCTCTCATTCTTCTATTTGTGTATCTCTCAGAGATATCCAATTAGACATCATCAACCTCATACTTACTTGCAAGATTATATGTGTGGCTCTGCATCTTCTTCTCCCCCATCTATACCTACTTTAACTGCTCTTTATGTTCTTCCCAGATCTGTATGCTTTAGTAGTTTAAAATCTGACAATCAAAAACTTCTCAGAACTATAGATAATGTAGAGCCTATAACTTTTCAGCAGGCTGCATTGCATCCTGCTTGGCAGGAAGCTATGTTGAAAGAGTTCAAGGCCCTTGAGGCTAATAACACCTGGGAAATAGTGCCCTTGCGTGCAGATATGAAACCTATTGAGAATGGATGAGTTTGTAAATCAAATATAAGGCTGATGGTAGCATTGAAAGATTTAAGGCATGATTAGTAGTAAGAGGGGATACCCAACAAGAGGGCATTGACTATACTGAAACATTGTCTCATGCGGTAAAAATGACTACCATTAGGAGTATAATTGCAGTTGCAGTAAAGAAAGGGTGGAGTATGTTCCAATTGGATATTAACAACTCATTTTTACATGGAAAGTTAGATGAGGAGATGTACATACGCATTCCCAAGGGATGGTTGTAGACAATTCTAATATGGTTTGTAACTTAAAAAATCTTTGTATGATTTAAAAAAAGACTCTAAACAATGGTATTCAAAGTTAAGTGATTCTCTTATTTCTAGGGGTTACACTGTTTCTAAGAATGATTATTCATTATTTCTTAAGTGTTCTAGTACTTTAATTATTATTGTTGTTGTACACCCTGATGATATTTTGTTGAGCGGAAATGATGAAGGGGAGATCTCCTCCCTGAAGCTATTCTTAGACAATCAATTTCGAATCAAGGGTTTAGGCCATTGGTATTATTTTTTGGGACTCGAGAATTTTATTGAAGCTGCCGGTGTCATTATGTGTCAAAGGAAGTTTGCCATGGATGTCTTGACTGATTTGAATGTTTGGAGTGGACTCCTGTTGTTAGTCCATTGGATGTAAATTTGAAACTCAAAGCTACTGAAGGGGAGCGCTTATCTGATCCTACTACCTACACGAAACTTGTTGGAAAGTTATTTTTTTGACTAACACTAGACCTGATTTGGCCTTATCGATTCATCATTTGAGCCAATTTATACATGCTTCCACTGTTTCTCATATGGCTGCTACTTTTCATGTTTTAAAGTATGTTAAAGGTGCTTTGAGTCAAGGTTTGTTTATGAGTGCAGATTTTGATTTTACTCTCCAAGCTTACTGTGATTCTGATTGGGATGCTTGCGCTAATTCCCGAAAATCTGTTAGTGGGTACTTGGTTATGCTTGGGTCTTCTTTGCTTGTTTGGAAGTCCAAGAAGCATCATACATAGTTCATCTCTTCTGTTGGAGCGGAATATAGATCTATGAGATGTGTGGTGGCTGAACTTTCTTGGTTGACTCGTCTACCCTCTGAATTATCCTTGCCTTGCTTGTGCCTATTCCTCTTCATTGTAATTGTCAATCGTCCATATACATATCCAAGAATTCAGTGTTTCATGAGCGCACCAAACACATTGAATTGTAATGTAATTTTATATGCGAGAAACTTGAAGATGGTTTAATTTCTCTTTCTTTTGTTCCTAGCAAGTCCCAGCTCGCTGATATGCTTACGAAGTCTCGTGCCTGATGCACGACATAGAACAATCCTTAGCAAGTTAGGGCTTTCCAACCACCTTCCAACTTGAGGGGGTGTATTGGACTTGATATTTTGTAGGTAGTCCTAGTTTTGTAGTAGTACATGTATTTATTTTTATGTTGGGCATGTGATGATTTATAATCTCATTTTTGTACCCATATTCGGATTCTTCAGTTTGACCCGTGTTGGTTGGGTCTTGTATATAATAGAGAGAAGGTTCCAAATTGGAACCGGGTCGTTCATTTTTTACCAAATTTTCTCTCTTCGCTCACATGTTCTCTCCCCCCGTATTTCTCTTTTTCATACTTCAATCCAATTGTGATTCTAATATAGGCGTCACTGAGGAATGTTGTGAGATGGTTACTATATTTTGGTTCTTAACTCAATATTTTTAGCTTGAGCTTGAAAAATGAATAATTATTCAAAAGGGAGCGTTTTACCTCCTTAAGACCTTATTAGATGCAAATCAAAATTAATAGATCTGATTAAAAGAAGGGTTTCTTCATCAGGATTGTAGTAGGATAGAAAATAGAATCAATTCCTCAACACTAAACTGGAGGTTTTCATTTCAAACTCTAGGCATGGAAAATATTATGGTAGGAGCATGAAATTGCATTACTGCAGCGTGGTAATGGGAATTCGCAAAAATTCAAAAAATAAAAGTTATAGCCCTTTCGAATAGCTTTCCAACGATATATTGTGGTGCCCAAACGGAGTTCTGAGCGTAAAGTTATGTGTATTTTACTAGACAATGCGCTGTATGCCCGCTCGATTCTCCGTTTCATTCTTAACTATCATCCATTGATCCCCGAACACGATCCCGACTTGATTCCTTGGGCTTTTACTTAGATTTCAAAGCTCCAAATCACTTGAATTAATTCCATAATATCTACATAGCTCGGAATCACTCCTACAAGGCATAAAACACATATTTAGTGTAAAACAGTAGCGATTAAAGCTCAAACTCAATTAAAGTGCAATAAATTAGAGTGTAATAATTAAGCAACTAAAATACACAATTATAACCTATCATTTGAGCACTTCCTCTTCAATGGGCTTTACATACCGTAAATTTAAATTAATCGTGCGCAAAATAAATACCTAATATCGGGTGAGGAAAAAAAAGAAGAAAGATTTCTATAGGAAGCTAGGCAATGGGGACAAGCATGGAGCCATGTGCAATTAAGCGGTCCTATCCCTCCCACCTTCTCCTGTACCTTTATAATACTTCTCTCAATCCCAACTATCTTGCTTCTCTCTCTCCTCCATTTCAGTTCTCTTCTTTTCTTCTCTTAACCTCTAGCCAATCGCTACAATCAACCAAAGAAAGAACAGGTAAGCTTTTACACTATTGTTACATTACATGCAAGAGAATGTTAGGTATATGTATACTCTTAGTAATCTAGAGAACCCTTGTCTTCCATTCAAAGCGATGAATCTTCCATTTGCCTATTTGCCTTGGAGAGGTACGTTGGCGGATTAAGTGCATATTCACCTCTCGGTGGAATTCATATATATAAACAAATTTCAGAACTCACTTCTTAACTCAAAACCTACTGCTTCTAGTTCTGAATTCACGAAGGGGAAAGAAACAAATGCAACAGACCTTGGAGAAGTATTATATTTCCCTCCAGATTGTGTCTATGCGTGTATGTGCGAGAATGAGTTATTTTAGCACGGCTCATAATTATGCAGAAGAAATTGGGAGTTTCATAGGGCGTAAAGTTCAAGACTAGTAATATCTAATTGAATTCAGCGTGAACCTCTAAGGAGGGAAGATAAATAGAATAGTAGAGTAATAAGAAAAGTGCATTTTTCTTTAGAGCATACTGTTTTTATGTTTTGATGAAAGGAGTGCCAGTGGTCCTGATCGATGAGCCTTACGCACCAATTCGATAAATGACGAGTCAGAGAGATGTCGAGTTTATTCAAGACAAGTAGACAACTCGTTCAGATAAGTCCATATCTGTGGAATGACACCCAAAGCCACCCAACCCCCATATATTCCTTTCCCAAATTCCGTTTCTTTGGTTTCCTTTTTTGCCGAGCTTGATCCCATAAAACCCTGCACTTACTTCTTTTTGCCTCCTTCACCCTTTCCTCTTTCAAACCAACGCGTGCCTGCCGAATAAACGAAGAATTTTGAAATTTGTGGTTTTAAAAGTTTAAGAGGTAAAAGTTTTGTAGGGGCATAATATTTGTGAGATTATAAAAGTCTCATTAGAGGTAAAATGAGTAAAATAAAAAGTTTAAAATTGAATTATTTTCAAATATAAAAATGTGTCATTCTTTTTTAAACGAACTCATAAGAAAAGTGCGTCATCTAAATTGAAACAGAGGGAGCACGTTATTATCTACAATGGTGAGATAAAGAGGATATTGCATGGGTGAGATATCTCATAGGGTTAGTTATCCCATCGTTTATATGGAATTGCTAATTTCATCATTTGTGTAAAGTTTATTCTCAAATTAGGTAATACCTATAATCAAACATGGAATAAATACATCCAAATTTTACTCCGAGATTATTATCCTTATCCCTAGTACTAAACGACCCTTAAGGCATAAAACGTTCTTTCACTGTTAATTAGTAAAGTACTATATTTGAACCTATTATAGCAGGTAATATATTTTATTTATAGATTATTACTTCTATTTTTTCTGACTAGTTACCTATAAATATCTTTTTGAGTGATCATATAGTAATTTTTTTAGATGAGAATAAATGTCATCCTCGATCCCACACCCCCCAGACCCCGCTGTCCTGTTGCCCTCTCAAATCTCAACCTTCTTTAGGGCAAACCAGACAACAAACTCTTTTGACTATTTTCCACAAAGTATTCAGCTTCTAGGGCTTCTCTCTCTCTCTCTCTCTTTCTCTTTTTTTTTTTTTTTTTTCTTTTTCTTGCCTTCCTTTGCTTGATTTCCCTTTGTTTTATTCTCTCA